ATGTTATCGAGATTGATATAAAATTTAAAGCGATTTCAGATTACGTCTTAACGTAATAAAATTTTCTTTCTAAATCGTGTACGATTTCTTAGAATTTAGAGGTAAATTACTTATTTAACCTTGTTTTACTATAGTAATAATTTGATTCTCTTTTTCTTTCTCGGGTCCTGTCTAAAAAAAATAAATTCGAATGGGTGTGGTTGAACTCAATTTAGTTTTCGGGAATCCACAAAACACCTCAACTTGTTCATTTATTTGAATCCAATCGAATCTAATCTAAATAAATTTATAACTAAGCTCGAACCGTACGAATTGAATGAACCAAATTTAAGGATCACCGAATGTCATTTTTTTCAAACGGACAATTAAGAGTCATGTGAGCATGGCCAGAAACCCTCGACAAATGGCTAACTACCAACCAACACCCACACAGAATCACAGAGCCACACGTTGTTGATAGCCATCCATGTGCTTTTGACCAACATCCCTCCTCCCTAGCTGTGATTTAATTAATTTTTTAGGTAAAACAATAGATTAGAGGTCGAGATTGATTAATCATTTATTATGACATGTCATATCAAGATCTTACGTGCTAGAACTTCTAATAATATCGTTTTATTTTTAGAGAAATTGTTATTTCTTGTATTATATAGAGTTGTTTCCGTTTTAATGAATGTACGATTATATGGTTGTTTTCGTAACGAAATAAGACCATCCGATATGACATGCAAGTTCATAAATGCATGGGTATCGATTTAAACATCTTCAAGCTTATTTTGTCTTTTAAAGATGCCAAATCCAAAGTCAAAAGCTTTCTACGTGCTGTCAAATTATATTATTCTAAATTAATTATTACTAGAGATGTGTACCGATGGAACGGTTACGAAAAGTTTCAAATTTTCATTTTTTTAGGGAGGGGTGGGAATTCTCTACGAGAAATTTGCTGTTCTACCAACATAAATTGTAATATTACAATATAGTGTATAACAGTAAAATGGTATGACATTGTCCACTTTCAACATAAGCTCTCATGTTTTTGTTTTGAGTGTTTTGGGCTTACCCAAAACGCTTCGTACCAATAAAAATGTATTTCCTTACTTATAAATCCATGATCATTCCCTAAATTAGCGGACTCCCTCCCAACAATTCTCGACAGAGCAAACTCAGAGGATAAAATCTACTTTCGTTACCGTCTTCGGACAAACCCAAAAAAGACAATATCTACTTTTGTTACCGTCATGCTACGTACTCAACAATACTTCCCACTAATCGACCGATACAGTTTTCATGATCAGTAGACACCACTATCAGAAAACTATTTGTTTTGTTTTTTTATTGAAAAAAAATAAAAGCAAGACCATCTCTTTTCTCACCTTTTGATGGTAGCCCATCATAGAGATAAAAAGAAGATGCCAATCTTTTGTCTTGGGACACACTTTAATGTTGGTGCCAAATTTTGGACAATGATCTTGACGACACTAGAAGAATAGCTATGATTTGAGCAACCAAAAACTTAACTCGTTTTAATTTAGCTAATGTGTTTAATAATTTGCAAAAGAAGTAAGGTCGGAGTAGCTTGTGAGATTGAGAGAATGTTTACTTCAAAAAGTTTAATTTTTTGGTGAAAAAATGTCTTAAACGTTAAAAAAAATCATTTCAAACGCACACTAATCATCAGTATTTATCGATCAAAGTGACCATAAATCGGAGACGCAAGTCTGCAATGTTTTGTAACGGTTGGAGCTAGAAATTTAAATTTCTATAAATTAGGTTAGTAAAACATTATATTATAAACTAAACTTGATTATAAATGTCAAATATTCTTAATGTTCGTAATAATCTGGTATGGTACGGTTGGTTTGTAACTCTATTTCGAGTTCGTTTGGTTAACCAACCTGATTTTTTTTCTTTTTTCGATTTTCAAAAATTCAACCCAACCCAAATCATAAAAAATAAAAAAAATTAAAAAAAAATCTAATCCAACCCAAATTTGGACCTCTCTAAAATCAAAGCTAAAACCAAAATCCATCATTGAGCTCCTTTTTTGTATAGATCGATCAGAGTGTGTGTTTTGGAATGCTTATCACCTAATAGAAGTAGTCGATATCATCATTGCCACCATTTATACTGTAGTTCTGAATAGTGTTCGTGTTGGCCCATAACTTTAATGTATTTTACACGTGATGGATAAGTCTTTATAGATTTAGTTAGGTCAAGTTTCCACTTGCATAAACCATGATGAACATATATCAATAATCGAAAGTGAGACCAATCATGGATATGATATTGAAGTTTTGATAAATAAAAAAATGAATCGCAACTCATCAGCTTTACATTTTAGGTTAATCTATGATTTAGCATGGAATTAGAACACGAGGTTGTATATTCAAACTGCTATAACGTCATTTCTTCCAAATTAATATTACTCTCTTCTCGAGCACTTTCTACAAATTTTAAAGCCTATAAATAAAGAGAAATATTAAAATATTGATATAATTAAGTTAACATTAACCGAGAAATAATATGCTCTTTAGAATAAGACAAAAGTATTTTGCACGTGAAACAAAAACGAGGAACGTCCAAAATAAAAAATAATATCATTGACAAGATTCATTATGCATCAATATTACTCGGAAATAATTCAAAAAACGGTCTCCTCTTCTAATGATTATGTCGGGCCAAGAAAATGTTGAAATTAGTTTTTTTTTTAATTAAATTTAGAAATCTTGAACTTAATTTTTTTAAAAATTAAATTTAAGAGAAAAAAAACACTAAGAAAACTTACTTTTATGTATTTTATTTACTGAATTAAGTTAATATTAGTATTTTTTACCGTAGAAAGGAAAGAAATTTAATAAAAATTACCCAAGTATGCTATGAACATGATTGACTCAAAGTGGTTGTAATCATGATCAAGTCCTGTCACTAAACACTAAAGTGGTCACTTTAGATGTTATGTCAATAGGCTAAGGGTGGAGGGACCAATAGTAAGATTCCCTCGACACCATTATTTTATATTTTCTTATTCTCTTAGGCACGAAAAGATTATGAGTTTATATTCTGATACTAACACAAATGGGTTCAAATTAAATCACTAATTAAACTAAATTTAATTATATCATACTTTTAACATCTTCACAACACGAGACCTCCAACTCTAATACCTAGAGATGTCCATTTAAACTAGAAATGAAAGAAAGAGCAGAAATATCTCCTAGAATTTTTCGAAGAGAATTCCTGTGAGGAATTCCACAGAGATAAAAACTAAAATAGGAGGTGGTTCCTTGTCCCCGTCTCCATCTCCATCCTACCTCGTAGATATCTCTGTTGATACTATATTTAATCAACTATATGGCAATGTCTCCATTGATACTATATAAGAGTACCTCGTAGATATCTCTGAGATGAAATAAGTGTTCTTAAGTTTTATGGTAAAAAGCTAAATGATGAACGAAAAGACTAGAAAAATAATTGTTATCTGATGCGTCATAGTGGCATGATGCACGAAAAGAACTACCATGTTGATGGGTTTGGAGTGCATTGGAAAAGTTTCAACCCTAATATGATGTTTCAAATCATTGTGTTTTGAAAATAATATTATTGGTCTTTAAAATGAGAGGGGGAAATAGTGTTTTCTATTTATGAACAATTTTGTGAAAGATTTTATTACCACCAAAAATTATGTCCATGGAAATGTAGCTTTTCAAAAAAAGGAAAGAGAAGAGAATGGTACTTGGTGGCTATGACGAGAAAAGTATTTTCAACTAATCATAGCGTAGTAACTCCACCGTTGGGGTCGGTAAATACAAGTACATGCAACATAGGGTTTTGCTTTCCAATTCAGGCAAGGTTGGATATGCAATACTTCTATACACATATCTCACGCACGTGCATATAGACCCACAGGCGGACTTGTATATGTACACCTGACCCTAGCTCGTCGAACTAGCATACGCTCAAACTACCAAACACCACAAAGTGAAAAAGCCCGCATAATATCATGACATACATAAATATTGTAAGATACACGTTCATACTAATCATAACAAGGAAGCATCTCTATGCATATGACACACGTAAATGCATGAGTTTCTCATAGTTCAAAATCATAGCATAAGTTTAGGTGCAAGTCAAATCTCCTTTCATAATAACATAATGAGCCTAGGAAACGTGCTAATGCAGTTCTTGTCGTGTTTTTCATACTTAATGTGATTTACATGACGTGGTGTGTAGAGGTTTACGCATTATGAGTATGACATAATCACATTATAGCATACTAACATAACTTAGAACCGACCCACCAGATGTTAAAGAACTTGAGACTTGACGGTGGTGAAGACAGACATGTAAGGGTGTGTGGAGGAAGTCATGTGGGCTATGCAGCTCGCATTTAATAGCAGAGGTTTGGAAAATAACTATTTACTCACTTACTAACACCAATTGTGAACAAATATTTATTAAGTTTGGCCACAAATTTGTCACTCACATTACACCATGAGCTGTAACCCTACTTGACAACAAAAATATTATATCCATTTTATGTCACCCATTACTTTTTAATGCCATTAACTTCCTTTTTCTTTTGGATTTATTCTCTTCCTTTCATTCTATTTGGCTGAGAATTTTGAGAGTTATGTGATCTTTATGAAATTTTTAATTTGGATTTGATGCATGGTATTAATGAATAAAAAGAACCTGAACTACTCGACCTAAACCATGAAGATTGAGTTAGGTTAGATCTTTTTCGATTTGAGTTGAGTTGAATTTTTAAAAAATAAAAAATTTAGTTTGGTTCTTAGATTAGACTAACTTGACCAACTCAAAAATAGTGTTCATAGTCCCATATTTTGGGGCTTTTAAAAATATTTGACATTTGCAACAGATGTTAGTGATGAGCTGTGACTTTTGAATATTTTATTTTTGAAATAACTGAACAAATGCATAACATGAAAACTCAACTCAATCCGACTCGAAAATAGAGGATTAGGTTAGGTTGTGAATTCTATTCGAATCGTTTGTGTCATCAGTTCAACCAACATGAAATTTCAAGTTGATATATGGGTTCATCCGAAAATTTTCTCTCGACACATATGTGAGAAAATAAAACATTTTTCTTATAAGGGTATGAAAATCTTTCATTAACCGACGCGTTTTAAAAACATTGAGAGAGAAAACTCAATGATGACAATATCTGTTAATTGTGAATGGTGGGCTGGGACGGTTACATATAACACGAATCGAAAACGCATCGAGAATTTTGCTTATATAAAGGGGAGGGCTTTGTACTTGATGTGCTAAACTTGTATCCATTTGGGCAAGGAGAATTTGTTTGCCCTCTTGTCTTCCCCAATAGGAAGTTCAACCACCACCCACCTTCTTTTTCCTTTGCCCAACAGATGGCGTTAAATGAAACAATGAATTCATTATTATTTCATCTGCTATCTGCTACTCTCTGACTATTTCATCCCTCTCTCTCTCCCCCACAAACAAAAAAAGTTCAAATTTTTACAAATCAAATGATCAAATCACAAACAGAAAGGTAACCCCTTTTAATATCTCTTCAAAAAATGATACCAATCTCATGTTCTTCAATGGCCAAAACAGCCAAATGGGTATTGATTTCAATCGCCCATTTCACAAATGAAGCCCTCAGCATTATTGTCTTCAATCTTCTCGACCTCATTGATTTTGGGTTGTGTTTTGTTTATAAAGTGGCTGATTTCTTCTTTGAATCCGAGTGGAAGGCTTGTTATTGTTGTTCCCATAAAGAGGCAATTTCAAGTAGCGATGGTAATAAGATTTTGGTGTCTGAAAAGGCCTTGTCTTTGTCCACTAAGCTGCAGCTGGAGGAAGTTTCTGATACTCTTTATACTCGTCCTTCCTTGCTCACTGAGCTGTCTAAGGTTGCTGTTGCTGAGCTCCGCCGCCTTAAAGTTAAGCCTTTTGTTGTTGGGTCGACCGGGAAGGCGGCTGTTGGATCCACTTTTGCGGTGAACTCTACCGTTGTTGAGATGCTTAAAGAAAAGATCAATGTCGGGCAGAATCCTAGATGGTCGGAATGTGATTGTAAACGTTGTACTTCTTGTTGTTCGTCATCCAAACAATCCCTATTCGTTCGTTCTCAAGGGCCCCAAGGTAATTTTCTCTTTTTTTTTTTTTTTTTTTTGTTGCTTAGGTTTTATGATTTTATCTCTTGGTTTTTGTTTTGATTCTTGCATGCTTGGAGTAAAAATGAATTTGACTAATTATGAGATCCCGCGTCGGTTGGAGAGAAGAACGAAACACTGTTTATAAGGATGTGGAAACCTCTCCTTATTAAACGTGTTTTAAAAACGTTGAGGGAAGTTTGAAAGGGAAAGCTCTCTAGGAGACGCGTTTTAAAAAACATTGAGAGGAAGCCTAAAGGGGAAAGCCTAGAGAAGACGAAACACCGGTGTGAAAACTTCTCTCTAGCATACACGTTTTAAAAACATTGAGGGGAAGTCCGAAAGGGAAACCCTCCTGATAAACGCGTTTTAAAAACCTTGAGAGGAAGCCCGAAAGGGAAAGTCCAAAAAAGACGAAACGCCCTTTATAAGGGTGTGAAAACTTCTCTCTATCAGACGGGTTTTAAAAACCTTGGGGGGAAGTTCGAAACGGAAAGCCTTTTGACAGTCGCGTTTTAAAAACTTTGAGAGGAAGCCAAAAGAGAAAGCCCAAAGAAGACGAAATATCCTTTATAAGAGTGTCGAAACCTCTCACTAGCACATACATTTTAAAAACTTTTGAGGGGAAGCCGGAAAAAGAAAGCCTCCTGAAAGACCGGTTTTAAAAACCTTGAGAGAAAGCCCGAAAAGGAAGTCCAAAGAAAACGAAACACCCGTGTGAAAACCTTTCTCTAGTGAATGAGTTTTAAAAACCTCGACGGAAAGTCCAAAAGAAAAACCACAGATAGAAGCGTTTTAAAAATCTCGTGGAAAATCCGGAAACGGAAAATCTAAAAAGATGACGAATCAAAATTAAAAGTGATTAACCTAACCATTTAATCCTAATTACCAATGAATGCACATTCAAGCGTTGAAATATGATTCAAGAATTGATGGCTTTCAGATAACCCACGTGAAGACGTACTGTTCATTCATGGCTTCCTTTCTTCATCTACATTCTGGACAGAAACCCTGTTTCCCAACTTCTCCGCTTCGGCCAACTCGACGTATCGGTTCCTTGCTGTCGATCTGCTCGGGTTCGGTCTGAGCCCAAGGCCGACTGATTCACTCTACACATTGAAAGAGCACGTCGACATGATCGAAACCTCGGTTCTTGAGGCGTATAAAGTTAAGTCCTTTCACATCGTCGCTCATTCCCTTGGCTGCATTTTGGCCTTGGCTTTAGCCGTCAAGCATCCTAGCTCTGTCAAGTCGTTAACGTTGCTCGCACCGGTACGTTTCAAACTCTTGTAATGTCATTTTCATTAATATTGGTGGTTCTTTGTTTGACCATATTGAATTCAAACTCATGCAACTTCGTTTTTATCCTTTGCAATTGATATCTAACATCCCTTATTTGATCGTCCTCGGTTTTCAAAACTCCTCCTGTTTGTGTCATTTTCTCCGGTACTTTTTGTAAATGTCATTTTTTTCTCCTAAATTTTTTTCTCTAATAATCTGTGTTCGTTATTTTCTCTCAAATTAACACGGAAAGTCATTTATCGACTCTACAAACATAAATAATTGATTAAATGTACAATAATCTATCAAGTTAAATGTTTGAATGAAATGGTGGGTTGCAGCCGTATTATCCAATACCGAAGGGAGAAGAGCCGAGCCAATATGTGATGAGGAAGGTGGCGCCCCGACGGGTGTGGCCACCAATAGTACTAGGGTCATCGATCGCTTGCTGGTACGAGCACATCTCGAGGACGGTGTGCCTAATCATATGCAAAAATCATCGCTTTTGGGAGTTTCTAACCATATTTGTCACAAGAAACAGGTATTTTCTTCTCATTTTTTCTTACCAAACTTCAAACCTCATGTTTTTTTCTTCTCTGTTTTAGAATATGAAACCCAACCATAATTAGGAATCTTTCAAAAGAAAAGAAAAAATTAGCTAAACACCCTTTGACAAACGTTTTGAATTTGATTTTGATCTCGTTCTCGGTCTACAATTTAGTTATGCTCGGGTTCAAGTTTCTTAATGAACATACAATATTTCTCACCTCCATTCGGTCCAAGTCAACCAAATTTATATCTCTAGTGGGTCCGGGTCAACGAAACTTTTAACTGATGCACTATTTCTTTTCAATTCCTCGAACAAAATTTGCAGAAGTTCTGACTCGTCAGCAAGCACCCTCACATTATATTCGAGTTATCGCATTTATTTGGTTTATTCAAAATATTAAAAATAAAATAGAAAATAAAAATTTGAGCACATTTATTATATCTACTGTAGAAAAAAAAAAACCCTTTAAAATAGTGATTTAAAGAAATTTAATTTAATTATTTTTTATTTTTATATTTTAGGATAGAGTCATTTTTGGTGGAGGGATTCTTCGCCCACACGCACAACGCCGCGTGGCACACACTGCACAATATCATATGCGGCACCGGTGGGAAGATCGATAGGTATTTGGACCAAGTCCGTGAGCAGGTGAACTGTCAGGTAAACATAATCCACGGCGGCGACGACGACGTGGTTCCGGTGGAATGCAGCTACAACGTGAAGGCGCGTGTTCCGAGGGCGCGTGTGAATGTGGTGCAAAACAAAGACCATATTACAATAGTCATCGGAAGACGACAGGCCTTTGCTAGAGAGCTTGAGGAAATTTGGAGCAACGCAAAGTCTTAAATTTAAATAATTACTGTTATTATTAATTTAAATTAATCGTAAATGGTTTTTTTTTTTTAAAAAAAGGATTAAAAATTTAAATAACCTCAAAAAAAAGGTTTATATAGTTTTTATGTAATCCTTATTGTTTTTATTTTTCTCCCTTTTCTTATTTACGTGGGAATAAAATCTCGTATTTTGTGGAAATTTTTTAAATACCCCATAATATTGGGTAATATTTCAATTAAATATGTAAATTCAACGCTCGTCTCGACACTTCTGCCAATGCAAGTGTAACAGTCCAAACCCACCACTAACAAATATTGTCTACTTTGACTTATTACGTATCATCATCAGTCTCACGGTTTTAAAATACGTCTACTGAAGAGAGGTTTGCATCTGACGATGTTTCCTTATTTTGATACATTTACTTTAGTTGAGCGAACGTTTCTCCTAACGAAAGCTGACATATTGAAAAGTTTTTCTCATGTTGACGCGAAATATTGCGTTGACATACAAAATTTATATATCTCTAAATTAAATGAAAAAAAAAATATATATATTTTTTAAATCATTGTGGGAAGTTCCTTGAATATATATCAATATAATTCCAAAAGCAACATTAAATGTAAACATAACTAATAAATAAATAGCCAACGTAACGCTATAAGTAAAATAATATAGCAATTATTTCATTTAATAATGGAAAGAAAAATAATAATAAAGTATGCATGTAATAATTAAATGAAAAACGTGGGGAAAAAGTAGTGAGTAAAATAATTGTTCATTTAAAAAAAAAAAATTAAAAAGAAAACGTAATTTAATGGAAAAAAAAAATTGAATGCACAAAATCAAAATGGGACCCACTACATGGGATATCGTGATAGATTCATTTAAGTTTTTAACAAATAAAATTTTAATATAAAAAAAATAAAATATTTAAGTTGAGTTATTTATTTAAATTTATTGTTTCTAATAAAAATAAAATATTAATACGTAAATAGTTGTAATTATTTTTAAAAGTTAACTAGAGAATAAATAATAGAAAAATAAACATGTCGTTAACTAAGAAAAATATATATTTATAAAATTAATAAATTTACAAAATTTTCATTTCATATAAATTAAAGAACTAATATAAGGTTCTGATGAGAGTTATTTTAAGTATATAATAATTAAGAAATGTTTTTAGGGATTGACAGTCGTGACTCTCTACGAGTATATATATAATTTCTATCCATTTTAATCCGTGTATATATTTAAAATGACTATTTTACCCCTATTTAGAAAATTTAGAGGGCTGAGTTTCTATTCTTTTGGGCCTTTTTCAAGCCCATTTTAGTCTTTTTGGCCCAATAGTCCTTGTTAGTAAAGCCCAAAAAATTATTTACTTTCAAATTTAGGATAATATTATTTTTCATTATATATTGTGAAGAATAAAATATTAGAAATACCTTTTTTTCGATGCAAGCTTGCGAGTTTAAATTTTACGAACTCAGATCATTGTGTGTCCATTTCGATCGCTACTGTTGCATTTCGTCTTAGACAACATTGGATCTAACTTTTGGGTCGATGTTTATTTTTCTTTTAAGAATTGAATCGATATTCCTTGAAACCTAAGTTTGATATATTGCAAAGAAGATATGAACTATGCAAAAACAACCAAACATCATCATTAACATACATTATATAGTTTTGTTTTTTTTTTTAAGATTGGATTAGGCTGAAAAAATCTTTTACTCAATTTCGGATTGGTTCAGTTTGATGACCCGAAAAACTTGAATAAAGCTTACAACTCAACCCAACCCAACTCAATTCTCTATTTTTATGATGAGTTGTTGGGTTATTTTTTATTTTATTATTATTTAGAAAGTTCTATTTATGCATCGTACATAGTACACTAATAACCAAAATTTTATCAAATATTCACAAGTCACAATACATCGATAAGATTGATTACAAACGTCAAATATAAGTAATCTTCACGAAAATCTAAAAAGTAGGGTTGGATGGTAACCCTATTTTCAGGTTGGATTGAACGGAATTAACTCAAGTTTTCAATTTGCAAAAAATTCAGCTCAATCTAAACTGAAGAAGAAGAAAAAAAGTTTAACCCAACCTAATTTTTATGATTTGAGTTGGGTAATCCGAGTAACCCTTTTCGCTCTGCTTAGTCCTATCCCTCGTAGGGGTATTTTAGTGATAGGTTTTATAGGAACTGGACGATCCTATTTGGTCAAATACGTAGCGACAAACTCCTATCTTCCTTTCATTATTGTATTTCTGAACAAATTCCCAGATAACAATTCTAAGAGTTTTCTTATTGACGATAGTGACGATATGGATAATAGCGACGCGGAGATTGTCTTTGAATTGTGACCAAACATAAAACAGAACTCATTTTGGAGCCATTCCCACGAAAGACCTAAGGATTAGGTCAAAATGGGGTGAGGTTGTTGTGTTTTTCAATGTCAAAGTGTAGAGTTTTTTTGGAAAATTTGTCCATACTTTAATGGTCAAAAGCAAATAGTTATGGGTAATTGGTGTAAATTGTGAAGTTGTTAGGGTCATTTTGGCAAAACCCAAAGCTCACACCTTTGGTTGACTGATGAACATTATGGTAAAAGTTGAAGCCCATTTCTTTTAAGTTACAAATGTATGTTTCTCACCGTGGATGCCAAGATGAACACAAAGATGTGTAAGAAGAAGATGAGAGAGGACGAGCCATGGGGGTCCGAGTGCCCCTCGAATCCCCCGCTGCCAACTGAAAGCCCACTGAACGAGGCTCTGGTTTGCCTTTTTTATGAATAATTTGTGTACACTTACCCCAAAGTGTTTCACACAACCCTCTTCAAAATGTATGCTTCTTTTTGGGTTTTAACTATTATTAATCATACGGGTTAGAATGTGATTAGGTCATCATGATTTTGTTGGGAGAAATAGGATTTAGAGAATAAAGTGGATTGGGATTCTATAGATCGAGGCGTTCGTGAGTTGGATTGGGTCGGATTGGAACGTTCTTTAGACCCAACTCAATTGTTCGAGATACTCAAATTACCCGTGGGCGCTTACTCCTTTCTCTAATCAGTGTGATATCTCACCGTTCACTCTCCTTCGAGGCTCAACGTCCTTGCTGGTAAAAATGATATCATTTGTAACCACCCAACCCCACTGAGATTCACTCCCTTGGGGATTTTCAGCCCGAATTACCCACGGACACTCATTCCTTTCTCCAATCAACGTGGGATCTCATAATCCACCCCTCTGGGGTTCAGCGTCCTCGCTCGCAAAAATGATATCATTTGTAACAGTTCAAGCCCACCGAGATCCACTCCCTTCAAGTTTTCAAACCCAAATTACCCGCCGACACTCTTTCCTTTCTCCAATGACGTGGGATCTCACAATCCACCCCCTTTCAGGGCTTAACGTCATTGCTAACAAAAACGATATCATTTGTAATAGCGCAACTCCACCGCTAGTAGATATTGTCCGTTTTGGGCTTTCTTTTTGAGTTTCTCCTTAATGCTAAAGAAAGGTTTACACACCCTTATGAAAAAATGTTTCGTTCCACCATCCAACCGATGTGGAATCTCACCATGTATACAAAGGACGGTAGTGATTTGAAAGGAAGGTAGAAGATGGGATTTGAGAGTGAAAAAAGGGCTATAAATTTGAGTGATGGGTTGTTTTTTTGGAACCCAAAAAACCGAGTTTTTGTAGGTACCCATTTGTCCTTTTCACTTTAAAGTTCTATCCTTTTACTCATTTCAATCTTTCATCTTCTCGAACACGCATTTCTCACACTCCCCTTTATCTCCCTCTTCCACCCTTTCTCTCTCTAATTCTCTCCATGGAGAAGAAGAAGGCCAAAGAAGCAATTTTGTTTGAGGGGAACGTTGTCTGGCTCGAGGCGACTTAGAAACAATAAGTATTCTCGGACCAGGCTTCATTCCCCCCACAAATTTTGCTTCAATTTCGATGTTCTTTGTGGGGTTCTTCATTTTGTTCTCCTCCTCCTCTCGATCTAACAGGTAAAGTTCAAATCTTTTGTGTTCTTCAATCTTGGATTCACATTTTTTTAGTGAAAAAAAAAGGGGTTTTGAAAAAGATTGGATTTAGATAGAGATTCGGTTTGAGGCAGAAGCAGATTGGCGTAATGATGTTTATTTTGACTGTCTTTTTTAGATCTCTTTTCTGACGAATGAGTGAAAAAATCATCATTACATGAATCAATGTTGTGTTGAAATAGAGAGAGAAAAAGATCTAAACTTTACATTCATGCGTTTCAGAATCTTCTTTGTCCCATTCTCATTCATGTTGTTCTTCAAGTTAATGTTATTCTTTTTCATTTTAAAGATTCAAAGATTTTGCTTAGATCCTTGTCATTGAAGGAATTGTTTGTGATAATTGAATAAGAATCTAACTTGTTTTTTATTTTGAGCCTAAATTTTGCTGTGAAATCTCACCATTGTGGAGTAGAACGAAACATTATTTGTAACGGTGTGAAAATCTCTCTTTAGTATACGCGTTTTAAAATTATTGAATGGAAGATCGAAAGGGGAAGTCCAAATAAGACAATATCTGCTAGTGGTGGGCTTTGACTGTTACAAATGATATCAGAGTCAAACACTGGGGCAATGTGCCAACGAGGAGGCTGAGCCACGAAGAGGGGTGGACATGAGACAATGTGCTAGCAAGGACGTTGGACCCCTAAGATGGATGGATTTGGTGGGGTCCCACATCGATTAGAGAAAAAAAACGAGTGTCAGTGAGGACGCTGGGCCTCAGTGGAGAGTGGATTGTGAGATCTACATCGGTTGGGACGCTGGGCCTCGAAAGAGGGCGGATTGTGAGATCCCACATCGGTTGAGACGCTGGGCCTCGGAGGAAGGTGGATTGTGAGATCCCACATCGGTTGAGATGAGAACGAAACACCCTTTATGGTGTGTAAATCTCTCCCTAAGTGATAGAGAAACACCTTTTATAGGTGTGAAAATCTCTCACTAACAAACAAGAGGACAATATCTGGTAGCGATGAGCTTGGATCGTTTGAAGTTTAATCTAATACAAAGCTAAGAAAGAAAGAAGAGAAGGAGAGAGAGAGAGAGGAAGAGGGTGATGGGTGAGAACAGTGGAGTGTGTCTCATTGTGTCATCAAGTTTTGAAACTGAGACATTATGGCTTTTTCACATAAATGCTTACAATTACTGTCTTTTCTCTCTCTTCTTTTTTCTGTGAAATCTGAATCATTTGTGTTAAATAAGAGAAGTCAACATCACCCATTACACACCATGCATACTCCCGGAGCTATGCTGTTGCTATCATTTGTGTTCTTCTTTTGCCTCACCCTCACCTTTTCACAACTAAAAATTAAACTTCATTAGACTGAGGGTGGAAATGTTTTTGGTGAAGATTCAAAAGAGAATGTGCATCATAAGAGAGATCGAACGGAGTACTATAATGAGTCTAAAATTACTACTAGCCGATATTGTTCGTTTTGGCTCGTTACATATATGTATCGTCATTAGCTTCACCATTTCAAAATGAGAGAAATTTCCACACCCGGGTAAATAATGCTTCGTTCCTCTCTCCAACTGATGTAAGATCTCACAGTGAATCAAAAGGTAGGTATGGTATAACAGCCTTTTTGGTTCACGAGCATCTGGGATCTCATGTAAACTCGTATGATGTGGTAAAAAAGATTTCACTTAAGTCCACTGCTAGCAGATATTGTCCTATCTGGGTTTCCCCTCAACGTTTTGAAACTGTCTACTAAGGAGAGATTTTTCACACTCTTATAAAGAATGTTTCGTTTCCATTTCCGATCGATACGGGATCTTACAATTATCTCCAATCGATACGAGATTTTCACACTCTTGTATTACTATGTTGTCTAGGCCCTATGTTCACGGTTGCTATTTTTGCAAATTATAGGGACGTTTTAACAATTTTATTTAATTATTTATTTATCTTGAAAATAGTCTTTTCCACTTTAAAATCAATGGTTCTAAAAAAAAGATTAAAAAAAAAATATTTGATTTCTTGGATCCTTTTGAAAAGTGTTATATTATGGAACTGTTTTGAATCTTTCTCGTTATTCTCAATCACTAGAAGATCAATCCAATTGTGCTTTATAATTAAGTAAACAATCAACTTTATATTGAATAATTAAACGTTGGAATTTCTCGTAATTTTTTACGATTATATGAAAATGACCAAAATATCCTCGTACTATCTTCACTTCTTCATAGTTGCTATCGTTCATCGCCGACAAACACTACCACTTCACCGCCCATCATAATGTTTTATATACAAATTTGAAATTTGAGGATGGAGAAAACATTACGAAAGTATCGAAAATAGCTCAAATCAGGTAGTTTTTTGTTTCATTTCAATCGACACATCTAAAACAACAAGTGTTTATGTAAAACGACAGGCTTGTTCTTTCTAAGACACTTTAACAACCTTAAACACATCTAAAACAACATGCTTGTTCTTTCCAACACACTTTAACAACCTTAAAACATGAAACTGATCAGTTCTACTTAACTAACAGAGCTGAATCCTTCAAATATTCATTTTTAGTAATGCCTTCTCCAACTGGCTCCATTTCTGCTCTAGGGTTCCAACATATCCAACAGACATCCTAATTAATCCCGGAGAAATGCCCGCGAGCTCCTTCTCTTCGACGTTCATCTCGCTACTCGTGCTACTACCTATCGAAAATACGAATGAATAATTAAAATATGAACTCGTTAGGTTAGACATTTGAGTTGATTGAATTGACTTGACTCTACCTGAGCACGACATGAGAGTCTCGAAGTAGCCCAAGCTTACGGCTAAGAGACCGAAATGAGTATGGTTTTGAAGGAGATTCATGAGTCTATTGGCTCGCTCTTCGGTCCCCATGTCGATGCATAGAACTCCGCCGTAGCCGTAGTCTTTGTTGGCTATGGAGCTTAGAAGATGGTGGTCAGGGTGATCTTTGAGGCCAGGGTATATGACTTTGAGGCCAAGATTCTTCATTCTTTGAGCAAATACTAAAGCCCTGTGGGAGTGCTCTTTCATTCGGAGGGCTAAATGGGGGACTCTTTGAGAGAGTTCTGAGGCAACTTTGGCGTTCATTGTTGGCCCAAGAAGCATTAGGGTGCCTTGGTGAAGGTCCATCATGGAATTCACTAATTTTTTCGACCCACAAACCGCACCTAAGAACAACGACGTGGGATCTCACAATTATGATTTGGTAAATTAAAATTTTTGAAATCATGTTTAGTGACTAAATAACGTGTATTATACCGGCAATTATGTCGGCTCCACCGCTGATGAACTTGGAACAGCTATGAACCACGACGTCAGCACCGAGCCTCGTTGGTGAGATTATCATTGGCGAGAATGTATTATCGACCACCACTGTCACTCCCTTCTCATGTGCCATCCGACTGAGCTCAGGGATGTTTGCCACTGTCAGTGTCGGGTTCGCCACCGTCTCGAAATACAACACCTAGATTTAGAATAAAAATAAAAGATTAAATTTATCGCAGTCTATTTACTTATGACTTTGGGTTAATTTAACATGTTACGAGAGTCAGAACTTGTGTTTAAACTCGTATAGTATCATTTTTTTTTTCACTAATAGACGTAAAATAATCTATCAATAATAAATATTTATCGGCATAGCCTCTCTATGTGAAGGGTGTGGAAACTTCTGCTTAGACGCGTTTTAAAAATTTTGAGGGGAAGCCTGAAACGGAAAGCTCAAAGAGGACAATATCTGTTAGCGGTAGGCTTGGGTCGTCACAAATGGTATCAGAGTCAAACACCGAGCGATGTGCCAGTGAGGAGGCTAAGCCCCGAAAGGGGTGGACATGAGGAGGTGTGCCAACAAGGATGTTGGACCCTGAAGAAGGGTGCATTGGGGGATCCCATATCGATTGGAGAAGGGAACGAGTGTCGGACTCTGGGTGTGGAAGCCTCTTCCAAGCCGAAACTTTTTAAAAACCTTGAGTAAAAGTCGAAAGAGGGCAATATTTGGTGGGCTTGAACGGAAATTGATTTATTTGTGTAAAATATTAAGAAAAATAATCAATGTTATCATTAATTACAATTTTCTAAGAAATTAAAAATTAAAAATTAAAAAAAAAATCAAATTGGTTCAAGGTGTACCTTCGTCTTGTCCTTCACCATGGCATCTCGAACCTTGGCATGGTCCTTGACATCCACAAACGACGTCGTAATGTTGCAGACCCTCGGCAGGAAATGCGAGAGCAAAGCATGAGTGCCGCCATAGAGCGTCCTGGATGCAACAATATGGCCACCGGAGCTGACAAGCTGCAGCAAAACAGATGAAATAGCCGCCATCCCACTGGACGTGCAATACGCCGCCTCAGTCCCTTCAAGCGCCGCCATCTGTCGGCCGAGGGCCATGACGGTCGGGTTGAAATGGCGGCTGTAGATGAAGAAGTCTTGTTCCGGTCCCAACTCCCCTTCGAACATCTTACTCATCGTCTCCGCTTCCATCACCGTGAACGTTATCGAGTTTTCGATTGATAGGTTCACACCGCCATGCTCTCCAAACTCCGGCCGGGCGGCTGCCAGAGAAGCAGCTGGATCCTCCTCCCCCTCCGGCCGCCATGTCACGGGCGGTGGCGGCGGTGGAGCTGTGTGCTTCAACCTCTTGTTCTTGACATCCCACCACATTTTTACTTCAGCCATTGATAAGAGCTTTTCTTTGAAGGGTTTTGAATTTGAGATTGAGATATGGAGGGCAAGTTTTGTAGTGCTATTTATGAGATTGTTAATTAGTTTAATTAATTTTATTAACTCAATAATTAAATTAATGGTTGATTAGGAAGCTTCTCTAAAATAATTCTGTTTAATTTTGACCATGACCCGATGTCTTATTAATTTTGATATATATATATATATCAAATGGGATCGGAAGCTGGACGGGTACGGGAATTTCTGCAACTTCATTCAACTAACATAGATAAATCTCTCTATATTATAACTATAGTAAATTAAATTTACCATGGTTAAAAATATTTATTATTAATAGTAAATTAAATTTATTAAAAACATTCTACTTGTTTGAAAAGAAAATTATATGTAGGTTATTAAATTTTAACCAAATTTAATAATAATTAATGTAATTAATTGAATTCATTAAACAAACTAATTATATATTTTATTTTAAAAGTTTAACAACCTTCCACATTTATAAACAACAAAATGTAGCTCAACTCTATAATTACTCACAAACCCGATACTAATTTTAAGTGTTCAAGCCCTAATTTTTGCTCGAGTCACCGCCACGTTGTTCCATATCCTAATTTTCGTCTAACATTCTAACATATTTGTATGTTAAGGGTAATTTTTAAAACATTACATTTTTTAAAATAAGGGACTAAATTTATAATTTAATCAAATGCTATCGTATTAAATTTATAATGTGAACCATTTGTAAGAGTCTTATAATATTATGGCAAGTTGGTGTGAATGCATGTGGGATGAACAGTCTTCGGATATTATGTGAGTTTGGTGAGTGCCAATCCTTGCTACATATAATATTTTAGTGCATGTTCAGCTCTACTCTGTGCCAAATTCGTTGTATCGGTTATATTGAGTCGTTTTTGTTTCATTTACTTTTAAATTTTTGTCTAATAGATTGTATCGTGGTGTAGTTTTTAAAATGAGAGACTTACTCGTACTGAAATGATTGTTTTAAGTCTAATAGCAAGAGGGCTGTCTCATCGATCGATGGAGACTTGGAGAGTGTGTCCACTGAACGTTAAACAACTCTTCAGTCTAGAATTCTTTCAGACCCTTTCAATTTGGTCCTCAGTTTTTGTTAACAACTTTTACTTGTTTTACTTGTTTATTCGCTTATGGTGTGTTGGAGAACGACTTGCTCAAGTTGAAACAAAAATTCTCGAATGTTGCATTTTAGTTAGGTCTCGGAGTAGTTTCTCTTTATCTCAAATCTCTATTAAGATTTTTTCAATCGAGACTCGTGTTATAATAGTACAAACCCACCACTAGCAGATATTGTCTACTTTAGCCTGTTACGTATTGTCATTAGCCTCACGGTTTTTAAAAAACATCTGCTAGGAAGAGGTTTCCACACACTTATAAGATATGCTTCGTTCCCCTCTCCAATCGAGATGGGATCTCACAATCCACCCCCCTTAGGGCCCAATGTCCTTGTTGGCACACCGCCTGATGACTGGCTCTACAACCATTGTAATGCCCCTAATTTTCTTATACCATATGTAACAATCTAAGCCTACCACTAACAGATATTGTCCGTTTTAGCCCGTTACATATCGTCGTTGAGAGGTCTACACACTCTTATAAGATATGTTTCGTTCCTTAATTCAACCGAGGTGAGATCTCACAATTCACCCTCTACTTGATTGAAAGTAAAAATATATCGAACTGGAATTAGTTACCTAGAAATGATGAAAAGACAAACAGAGGATTGTTGACAAGAATGTTTTTTTTATACACGGATTACGCGTTAATGTGAATCTTTTCAATTTTTAAATAATTTCATTCGAAATTAAAAAAAAAAAAAAAAGAATAATAATTTAATTCCAACGTTTATGTTTTCCACCTTATTGTTACTATAATATTACAACATTTGAAACTTTATCCAACAAAAATTAATTTATATTATACAGGAAATGATAATAATAATAATAATAAGAATAATTCATTTTCAATGTGAACATAATAATCTTTACTAATTAACTATTGTACCCAGAAAATGTTTCTTTAAGAAATAAAATAAAATAAAATACCAAAACAATAAACGTGAAAAAATTATATTAAAAAATGAGTCCACACTAGCAAAAACATAAAATATTATGGATATTGCAAATTAACCCAAAATATATATATATATATATATATATATATATATATATATATATATATATATATATATATATATATATATATCGCTTTTGGTGGGTGGAAGGAGAAAATAACTCTTAATTGATGAGTGTGAGATGTTTAATGTGCAGTGCGCCCATGGACGACCAACTACAGTACCTCTCGTGAACNTATATATATATCGCTTTAATTCTCTATTTAATCTTTTAATTTAATTGCAATCTGGTCCCTATAATTTTAAAATTTTCATTTTTAGTCCTATAATTTGGTCAAATTCATGAACCTTGCATGTTCTATCATTTTGAAGACATGATACCCTTTTCTATTTGTATGATATCGAGTTTATATTTTTTTTAATTTGGTTAATATGAATATTCTCGATAGTTAAAATATTTTATACCTTCTTATAAGGTCGAAAATGTAACGGTCCAGATCCACTGCTAGCCGATATTGTCTTTTTTGGGCTTTCCCTTTTGGGTTTTCCCTCGAGGCTTTAAAACGTGTCTGATAGAAGAAGGTTTCCACACCATTCTAAAGGTTAGTTGGGAAGGTCACATGTCCGATCCATGTTCATCGCACCTGAATCAAGTTGCATAACCTGACTATTCAATCTAAAATTAGTGATTATTCGGGAGGAGAACAGACCACCCTTTAGAAGGTTCCTCCCTTCCCCTAGCAAACGTACCTTAAAGCCCAGAGGTAAAGCTCAAAGAGAACAATATCTGCAAACAGTGAATCTGGGTCGTGAACAAAACTAGAGGGAAGCTCAAAGACGACCACTGGGTCGTGAACAAAACTTAGTGGGTCTGGGTCGTGAACAAAACTATGCTTTTAAGTCGAATTATGAACTAAATTGAAATGTTATATCGTAATTAACCTTAATTAAACAAAATTAAAACACGAAACCACTCATTGAACCAAACTTATTCAGTAATAAAAAAACAGCAACAAAAGAAATTCAACAATTAATGCAACGAAAAATCATTCCTCAACCTTCTCCAAATACTTGTTCTTCTCTTCATCCACCATGAACGCAGTAACAGGATAAGATTTTCCAATCCCCATTGGAGTTTTAAAGCAAATCTTCTTCCCCTTAGGATCATCAATACTCATCTCCGAAATCGGAACCCACAAAAGTAGCTGCTTCGTCTTCACCCCCGTCATCTTCTTCATCTTCAACTTTTCCACGTACGCAGTCACCTCCGTTGCGTACACAACCCTCGAGTTCGTCGTCTCGAAGAAATGCTCGTAGGGCTTCTTTTGTTTCATCCAAATGAACCCCGTCTCCTTCACAATCCCACATTCCTCGAGCTCCTGCAACGGCATCACGCCGCTCGGGAACCCTAGTTCCTTTAACAGCTCCACCGATTGTCGGTAGCATTCTTCGGGTCCATAGGCAATTTCTGCTCCGGCTCGCTCGTCTTGTCGAGGATTGACCATCGCCATTGATGAAAGGTTGAGAATTAATGAGAAGGGTTTGCAGGGTTTAGGGTTTTATATGTGTGTGGTGTGGTTGGGTGGGTGGAGGTTGAGCTAAAATGGTTCCTTCTTTCTTCAAGGAGTTGTTGAACAACAAATTGGTGTATTTTTTTTTTTTTTTTAAAGTATTTAGGTTAAATGTTTACCTAATTAAACCAATATATGGTCTATAATAAAAATAATTATTGTATTTATCGGGATTGTTCGAAAAATTAAAATTAAGGGGTTCGAAAAACTCGATAACTCGAAATTTTTTATCAATTCAACCCAACTCATACGGTTCGGGTTGGGTTATAATTTATTATATTAATACAATTAATTGTTCAATAATAATTATTTAATAATAACCCATTTATTTATTTAAAATTATACTTGCATTCATTTTTATTGACAGAAAAAAGTTATTAAATTACTTTAATTAAGTATTTGGTGATTTTATTAATCAACAAATATATAATATATTAATTGTAATCAATTGATTAGTTAAAGCTAATTTGGAATAAATTTTATTTTTCATTAATTAATTTTTTATTCAAATTTTCCTTTTTCCTTTTATTTTTTATTTTATTTTTTATTGGAAAGAAGGAGAAATGCATGAAAGTACCGAGAGTGGTATGAGCCCTGCGTGGACTCATACCATTGTAGAGGTTCGTACTTTGTTCAAGGACTTCAAAGATAGGGTCGAGCATCGATCAAGGAGGTTATATGCAACACACTTAGGGTTTGGGGTTCACGGTTCAGGTTCGATCAAACATCCAAAATCAACGGCTTACAATATAGTTACACAAGAAATATGGTAGACCGGAAAGCAGCAGAATTTGGCGCGTCAAAGTTTGTCCGTTTGTCCATGTCAGCATCGAACCCGTGTGCTCGCACCCCTTGGTTGAACCCCAAACCAGCGGAACTTTTCTCGCCGCCTCCCCTGTTTTCCCTCCGTTCCTTATAATCTCTCAAATTTTGGCTTCATTCTTACAATCGAATCAAACTTCAATTCATCACAATCTCGAAATTTCAATGTGCAGGTCGACGGATTACCGGACTCTCGGCGGCGATCGCCTCAAAATCAAGGCATTCTTTGTTCGATTTTCGCATCTGGAAGCCCTAGATCCACCACCGGAGTCGCTCACTCTGTTTTTCCTCCCTCGCATTGACGAGGCCAGCCTTGAAATCGATGGCCTTAAGATCCGGCCGGATTCGCCAGCGTTTGTCTCTCTTCATCGAGTCCTCTTGCCGTCGTCGAGGATGAGGAAGGATGTGGTGTTCGGGAGTAGAGAGCGAGTTCGAGCGAGCGAAGGCGCGCAGTTCGTGGTGTGCTTGAGGGAGAAGAAAGTCGTGCAAGGTGTTTTTAGGAAGAGCGACGACGGAGAGTGGAGAATGGACTGTAAATGCGCGCTTGAATCTAGTATCGCCGGAGAGGCGGGCGCGAGGGCGGAGGTTTGCGTGGATCTGGAAGGAGAGGTGGCGATGTTTGAGAAGGTGGTTCTGGAAGTGAGAAGGAGGAAGAAGAGAGGGTTCTGTGGACTGGAGGAGATTCCGGAGGGACGAGAAGTGGACGGTGATTGCGATGGATGTGGTTGTTGTTGTGGAGAGGACGGCGACGGCGGTGGTAATGACGATGAAGACGGCGGAGAGAAGAGGGTGGAGATGGAAGTAGAGGGGGACCAATGGGCCGTGGATTTGGGGATTTGGGCCGTGTGTTTCGGAGTTGGATCCTTGGTCTTGTGGGCCGCTCATTCCAAAACACTCAGACGCAAACGAATTTTTTGAAGCATTCGCAAATTTTTTTTTTTGTTTTTTTTTTAAGTTAAATAATTATTGAAAATGCCACTCAATTTTGTATATTTTGTGTAAATATCTCAACAATGCTCTTAAAATAATAAAAATAAATACGTTTACCTTACATATAATTAATTAAAAAATTTAAAAGTAATCTTACATTAATCTTTGAAAAAAATAAAATAACAATGTTCGAAAACTCGTTTTTACAACACAGTGTGTTACTATCTCATTTCAGGCTTTTTAGGCTTTACCTTTCGGACTTTCTTCAAAATTTTTAAAATCAGTCTGTTAGAGAGAGGTTTTCACACCTTTATAAAAGATTGTTTTGTTCTCCTCTCCAACTGACGTGGGATCTCACAATTCACCCCTCCTCCCTCGAGTCTTCGCTAGCACTCGTTCTTTTCTCCAATCGATGTGGGACCTCCCAATCCACTCCTTTTCGGGGCCTAGCGTCCTTGCTGGCACACTACCTCATGCCCACCCCCCTTTGGGGATCAACCTCCTCGCTAGCACTCGTTCTCTTCTCCAATCGATATAGAACCTCCCAATCCACCCTGTTTTGGGGCCTAACGTCCTTGTTGGAACACTGCCTCATGTCCACCCTCTTCAGGGCTCAACCTCCTCGCTGACACATCGTTCAGTGTCTGGCTCTGATGCCAATTATAACAATCCAAGCTCACCGCTAGCAAATATTTTTCCACTTGGGCTTTTTCTTTTGGTCTTCCGTTCAAAGTTTTTAAAACACGTCTGCTAGGGAGAAATTTTCACAAAAAGACGCTTGCGCCTCTAATTTCAATTTTGAAACATTTCCACACAAACAAGCCTATTTTGCAGTAGTTTAATCAATTTTGTAGCTTAAACAAGGCCTATTTTGTGGTACTCCCATGAATGCAAGAACAGCATCCAATACACCAGAGAGAGAGCATAGTTATGTCTTAGCCACCGTTCTGGATTATCTGTGCACTACAAACCCAGAAAAAAAATGCCCCATATCAAATCAACCAATTTATTTGTTCGTTATATCATCTATCTGTCACGTCATATCAAATCAACCAATATTTATTAATTTATGTATTATCGACATAAAAATCTTTAAAGTTTAAAGATAAAACGAAATAAATACTAATATGGTTCGGAGACTAAATCATCGTTCCAACCCTCAATAACACGACGATAGCAGAAAGAAAGAGCAGCAAAGGCAACACCATAGTTGAACAAAAGTAGTATTAAAAACTTCCCTCATATCTCTCGTGAGCAGCAGAATCAAGTTCAAAATTGGTTCATTCTCCTTTCTCGTGTAGATCATAACCTCTCCACCAGTTTCCCAGACACCTTCCTGTGGATCAAATCATTTTCAAACCTTTAGTTAATGTTCTAAAATTCTGATACACGGTTCATCATATGATTCATGTTTTGTTTTTTTTCATTCGAATTTCGGCAGACCGTCATCTCTGTCTCTCCTTCTACCTGTTGAAGGCTCGAATTCCATCGATTCATGATCATTTATTCGGTCGATATTTCTACTACATTCATGAGGTACATACATAGCCCAACAACAGGATGCAAAGCGTGTTGTTGGCTAGAGATTCAATAACGTTATATAAGGATCTTTTCGAATTGAATGTCGATAATCGGAGAGTCAGACGTTAGGACTTAAAAGGACTTAGTTGGTTATAGAATGCAAAGAATAGCAGTCAGTCAGTAGTTTAGAAACAAAAAATGAAAAGAAAAGTTACCATTCTGCAAGCAAGAGTTTGCCAAGAAAGAAAGAGAATTTGCAAATCCAAAGGAAAAAGGAAGGCTTCAAAAAGCAGGAGCTTTCTTCTTTGACATCCACCTCTTCTTCGCACTTTCTATTGCTTCCTCTCTCATTCTTGACAGTTCACAAAGGCACTGATGGTACTGTAAGTCAATGGCATCAATCTCCATCTTCAGTTCATCTTGGTGATCTCTTTCTTCCAGAGAAAGGCTCGAAAAGTTCGACGAACTCATTTCTTTCGACATTCCTGAGCAGGAGGAGATTAGAGATGGGTTTGCGAAATCGATCATCGTCGAAATAGATCCAACAGCATCGAAATCCATTGTTCCTTTTCCTGTGCTGTAATCTGAGATAGTTGAGTGATTGAAGTCGAGCGATGCACACGAAATGATCGACTGTAGGTTTTCTTGATCTTCCACCTTGGTGAAATGCGTCGGGTTGTTCCCTGCACCAGCCACCATGGGAGATGATAGTACCATCTCAGAGAAGAAAGGAGGAATGAAGGTCTTGTCCTCTTGAGTTTCACTTTCAGAAGAACTGTGTGTAGTGTTTTGTCCGTGATAATAGTTTGGACATGGTTTCGAGTCGGGAACAAACTTGGCAATTAATTCATCGATTAATTTCGCTATGACAGTCGCGTCTTCATTTGACAGTTCGAGTTGTTCAACCATCTCCAAAACAATAGCCAATGAAGTATCAGAGTCGAGATAGAAGGCAAAATGGATATTCTTCGATTTACCTATATGAAAAGAGATGTTCGAGTTATCATGAAGAATATAAACACATTCACTATAGAATAAACAACTTAAGGAGATTAAGAAAGAATCGACCGAAAGTTACCGCTTAGTTCAGCAATGCGCAAATGGAACGAAATTGTATTATGATCAGTCATGTCCCCTTTTAGCGTCAATTCATTAGTCTCGGTGAGCCTCTGAAGTTCGAGAGTTGAAAACTGAGAAATGTCGTTATCGCTTTTGACAGATGAGACCACTGAGCCTGAGAATTTGCTGCAGTTATGGTCTGTGTCCATTGAATGAGAAGCTAGCACAGGAGGATTTTCAGATTTGAACGGCTCATTCGATAACCTTAAAGGTTCAAAACTATGCTCCTTGGGACTTTCAGTTGCAAGGAAGGGATCTTTCAAGAGTTCACTTGCAGGTAGTCTCATGGATGCTGGAACCAGACACTTCTCTATGAACTGCTTAACTTGGGGATCCAGCACTTTTTCGAGGGAAGCAGGCTTTATACCCTGCAAGAAAGAAGAAATGATTTCAGCCCACCGCAAGCCGATATTTGATATTGTTCTCTTCGGGATTTCCCTTTCGGGCTTCCCCTCAAAGTTTTTAAAACGGGTCTGCTAGGGAGAAGTTTTCACACCCTTATAAGGAATGCTTCGTTCCCCTCTCCAACCGATATGAGATCTCACAATCCACCCCCCTTGAGGACATAGCATCCTCGTTGGCACACCGTCCAATGTTTGGCTCTGATACCATTTGTAACAGCCCAAACCCACCGCAAGCAAATATTGTCCTCTTTGAACTTTCCTTTTCAAGCTTCCTCTCAAGGTTTTTAAAACGCATATACTAGGGAGAGGTTTCCATACCCTTATAAGGAATGCTTTGGTCCCCTTTCCAACCGATGTGGATCTCACAATCCACCCCCTTGAGGGCCCAATGTCCTCGTTGGCACACCGCTCGATGTCTGGCTCTGATACCATTTGTAACAGCACAAGCCCACCGAAAGCATATATTGTTCTCTTTAGGCTTTCCCTCAAGGTTTTTAAAACGCGTCTGCTAAGGAGAGGTTTCACACCCTTATAAGGAATGCTTCGTTTCCCTCTCCAACCGATGTAAGATCTCACAAATAGAAACATTTAACGGACATAATCTGGTAGAAGTAAATCATTTACTTACCGAAGTAACCTTCTTGAATATTTGGGCAGAATTTTTGCACTCACTATATGGGTATTCACAAGTCACAATTTCCAACATGCACATGCCAAAAGAATAGATATCAACAAGCTCATTATACTCCTCATCATAAAGTTCTGGAGCCATGAACTCTGGAGTGCCTGAATAATAATCACATCTCAAATATCAGATGAATCCTAGAGTTCTATCCCCACAACAAACAGATATCGAGCTAGAAAACGAAATTATTACCAATAACACTTCGAGCAGTAGGCTGCTGCATGACAATCGCCAAACCGAGATCTCCAATTTTAACATCTCCCGTATTTCCATTGACAAATATATTATCACATTTCAAATCCCTATGAATAATTGGAGGGTTGTGACCATGTAAATACGTCAAGCCTCGCAGTATCTGCCTCGCCCAATTCTTGAAGGCTTTCAAGTCAACTTTCCTATGCTTCCTTCGATATCTAAATTGCAAACAATACCATAAACGAATAAACAACTCGTTGAATGCAGTAAAATGATTCCGAAAACAAAAAGAAGACTACTCTTAGGAACTTACTGCCTCAAACTCCCAGAAGTGAACAATTCTGTAATCATGTTGATAGTCTTGTTCTTATCATCAACCCAATAGCAATAGAATTTGATTATATTTTCATGTTTCAGAGACTTCAGCAGATGAACCTCAGAATATAATCTCTGAAGCTGTTCTGGTGACTGCAAAACATCTTCAATGTCAACTTGGCTCCAAGCAACTTCGATTCCACCGACTTCGTCGAATGCTCTGTATCTGATGACAACAAAAAGAGCCCTCAAGTCAAATAACACACCCAAACATTCATTACACCCAAAAAAACCATCTCACAATAATGAAGAAACTAGAAAAGAAAAGGTAATAAAAGAACAGAGATTGATAGACATCAGAAACATACACTGTCTTGAATGCCCCTTTACCCAAAATCTCATCGTACTGAAAAATAAAACAAGTCTAAATGAGGATTGAATCATAAAGTCAAATAGAATCAAACATATGAACTACAAAAGGTAAAGAACACATCTGAAACATTAGTCGATCATGAACTATTGGCGATTTGGTAATTATGCGCAAATTCAAAGCAATTCAATCGATAAATTAGATGATTCGTATATTAAAATTAAAATTAAGTAACCAAAACAGTGAAGGAAACAATGTCAAAAATAGAAAATAAGGAATGGGGTTTTTCTAAAAAAGAACTGTTCTATCCCAGTCGCTAGGGCAATAAGAATATCCAAACGAAATCGAAGATGAGAATTAAAAGGAAATACCCGAATGTATCGTCCTGTTGGATCCTTCTCTACAATCTCACGATCATCAGCCTCGGAGTTCCCAGACATCAAATCCGAACCGCAACTCATCGTAAATCAGAAAGACGAAGAAAAAGAAACAGAAATCGAGAAAAAGAGAAGGCGATAAAATCCAGAACGCAAACAGCAGATAGTCAGATAACGACGATCAAACGAGAAAGGTGTTCAGAGAAGGCCTCGGAAGCCACATCAAATGCAGACAGAGAAAGAAATTGGCGACCCATAAACAATTTCATCGCAGATAGCAATTGAAGACTAGAAATTCGAGGAACGGAACTCCTCCACATGATAATCAATCGAAACCCAAGCTCGACCATTTAAGCATCCGCATAACTCCTGTTTTCCCCAATCCCAAACCAAAATGAAACCCTAAATTGGATATGAGAGTAGAAATTACGCGATTGAAAAGGAGAACCCAACTCAGAGATGGAATACGATTCGTTGAATCGTTGAAAGTCGTCGTTCTGTTCTGTCCCGATTAAACTGTACAAAAAGAAAACACTGAATTTAGCTCCGCCACCGTCCGTTTAGCTTTCGATTGACTCTATTTTTACGATTACCAGATAGTTGATAAACATCATTGTTTTTTACTTTATTTATATATATATATATATTATCTGTCTTTTTCCTTTCTTTTTTTAGGTGAAAGAATATACTTATCTTTTTACCTTTTAAAATTAGAATGATTTAAGAATTATTTTTGTTAATCTATTAATTATCTTTACCCGCTCTAATCCGATTCAATAAATATTCATTTTTTCATCTACAAAATTGTATAGGCTAGGTTCAACCTCTCTTTTATGTGTTACAAACTGACTCGAGTGAGAAAGAACCATTTGGAGATTTGGGAGTGAATGTTTTCAAGGTTGAAGTGCACCATGAAGTTGTCGTTAAATAACACTTGATTGATAATTTTTTTAAATATTTTATTTAATTTCATAACTTATTGTAGTGGATATTTGAACGGTGACGGGAGTTACTTGGCAATCATTGCTGTCATTTGGAGGATACTGGAAAGTTATGAAACTTGTTAATTATGATTGGAGGTTTTTTTTTTTTTTTTTTTGTTCGGGAGCTATAAATACTCACAAAATTGCCAGGTAGAAAATGGGTTATGAATGAATGAAATTGAGCTCTCAAATTTTGGATTTTTGCCTTTATAAATTTGACCTAAGATTTTAAATAATTTATGTGTAAATTGCATCTGAATCATTCGATAAAACTTTATGGAACTTAATTTAGAACAAAGTTCCAAATTTTGTTGGTAGATTTTTTTATCTTAAGAGATTCTAGTCTTTTCTCTCGATTGATCTGAAATTTGTATAATAAGATGTTAATTTCTTTGATTTAAACGTTCTTGCTTCAAACTCGGATTGTTAGGTCGAGAATTAGGGTTACATTATCTATCATATTATAATAATTAGTTATGAAATATATCTTGTTCTTAATATTTTTTTTTTCTTTTATTCTTAGGATTTGGTTAGTAGTATATTTTATCTTAGGATTTGGTTGGTATCTTATTTTATCTTACGATTAAGATTTGGTTAGTAGTATATTTTATCGGTTAATATTATATTTTATTTTATTTTCAAGATTTAGCTAGTTGAATATTTATTTGGTTAATAGTATATTTTATCTTATTTTCAAGATTTAGTTAGTGAAATATTTTCATTTTAGGTATTAATTGGTAATTTGTATCCTATTTAAACAGGTCGTGAACATTAATGAAGATTACACTTTCGATCCCACCTCTCTCATTCTTAACATATCACTACTTCGGTTATGATTTCTTTACTTGTATTACTTCTATTAAAATAAAAAGGCTAAACTAAAAAAAAAATCGTGAGTTAATACGGTCCAAGTCCTACTACATATAAAGAAAGATATATCGAGAATTTTGGTCATATTTTCGAGGACAATAGGTGAAACGAAAAAGAAAACATGAGTGTTACTAATTTTATAGAGATAATGAAGATTTGATTGATTCTTTTTGCGGTTCAAATTAGTTTAAGGATTTCCATGATCGAAAGGTTATTTATCGAAAATGATATTCCTTTCTTAGTTTAAGGTTATTTAAGGTTAGTTTAAGGTTTTCCATGATCGAAAATGATATTCCTTTGTTGGTCGTGGTTATTTATCATTTTAAAGAGAGCTTTTCAGAATTTGTGACTGTTTGAATCCTATCTATTGGTTGAGAAAATTGGCGTAAGAATTGGACGAATTTACAAGAAAAATAAGAGTACTTATATCGAGTCTACATCGTACAAAGTCCTCAACTACAAGGGAAACCCTCTACGAGACCTACACGATAGCTGCTTAGGTGTCGTTGACTAGTTGGATTTTAAAGTTTAAATAGCAGATATTCAGAGAAAGAACACAATCAAGCTAAAACACATGATCATAGGCAGAATAGCGCTGAGAGCTCAAATATGACCCAAAATCTAAAATTACACAGAAATTTTAAGACAATTATTCGTTACCACCATTTTAAATTATACTAAATATGCATCTACTATAAACCTGAAACATTAATACTGTCAACAAAGGGGCTCTAATCAGAATAAAGTAAGGTACAATAAAATATATGTCTCACAGGTTTCATCTTCAACTATATTCGACCATTCTACCATCGGTTCGAGACTTTACGAGGTTAGCTCCACAAAAAGACTGGCCTGAGGGTGCAGTCCAGCTTCTTTCAAGGATAAGGAGAGCTTCTCAGTGCCATAAACAACTCGAGGGAAGTTTGAAACCAGATTATAACCATCAGCCTCCAAACAACCCAAGGAATCGACATAGTCGTAGAGAGTTTGGATCGATGCGCTACTGTGGAACCTCCTTTCCTTGCGTTCTCCAGTAGGGAACCGCACCAACACCTGGTTGAACAAATAATTCAAGAAGATTGGTTAGGTTCTCACTTTGTCAGAGAAGAATGAAAGAGGGGAGAGGTGAGAAAACTCCATCTAGTTGAAAAATAAAATGTGTTCAATAGTTAAAAATGATATGAGCTACTATAAATTTCCACATTGGGTATGAAAATAGCATTTGAGGATGAAAAATGCTTAACATATGCAAGTCGGACAGAAAGTAGTGTTTCCAGTAGTGGAACGCGTAAGAAACTTGCCCGGAAGGGGCCCTCCTGTTTTATACTAACTAACAAAAGCAGGTAACTAATAAAAGAAGATGTTCCATTTTCACGAATCCAGCTAATATAGTGACAAGATCATAACTATTTAAGTCAATTCGATAATTCGATTATTAGCTCAGACACTATTCTATTCGGGGGGGTCTTTTGTTGTCTATATGCACACTTCTCCTATAAAAAGAAAATAGAAAAGAAATAGAACACATTACTTGTGTAACATTAGGTCCTTTGTCAGGTTCAGCACCAAGTGACATTGCTTTCTCCTGCCGCATTCTGGCTAAAGCAGCCTCTCTTTCTGCAGCTTCACGAGCAGCTCTCTCACGAGCTTCTTCTTCCTCTTTCCTCTTCCTCTCAGCTTCAGCGGCTTCTCTTTCCAGACGCTCTTGCTCCTCTCTCCTTTGTCGTTCCCTGGCCTGATAAATCCGCAGCAAGAGATCAGATTAACATAAAATTTGAAGAGACAACACGAAAACTCCAGTTCGTAAGACATATGGGAGGACGAGAAAACTATGAAATTTAGACAGACATGAAACCAAAGTCAGAAAGTAGCATACTTGATCTGCTTCAAGGGCCGCTCTGTAAGCAGCATCTTGTTCCTCCCTTAATCGCACGTTATTTCTTCTTTCTTCTGCATCAAGCCTTGCTGAAACCAGAACAGGAGAACTTTCTTCAAGAACTCTCTGTAGAATCACTAGCATTTCTTCAGCAGTTTTTGGTCCCTCGACCTGATATAAGAGAAAAAGAGGCTAATAAAGAAAAAGAAAGTCTGATGGCCAAATCAAAATAAAATGGAAAGTCTGTTAAAACTGCTTATCAAATCCAAGGTTATAATGCCTTGGAGATGCTATGTTACCAAATGCTGAAGTTCTAAAACGTGCTGGACCAGATTAATAAACAAAACCCATAATGTCCATTGAACTTGGAAGAATTGAGGTTGTCAAAAGAACATCTCCTTTCCAAGTTTACCACTAAAGAACATCCTTTTTTTCTTCTTGTCCCCTACCAAATTCAAGAATGAATCAACAGCAAGAACTCTTAATTTAGCAGTCTCACTTGTTCAGAAATTGGGCACAAAAGTAAATCGTCCTCTTAGGCCAAATATTGTTTTAATTTCATAGAATTCCCACCCAAGTTCATCCTTCTTTACTTCCAAAATTGGGTTCAAAGTTTATCCCTTCATTCTTTTGTTTGCAACTTTTGATACAAAACCAAGAGTTCACCTTCAAGTCCTTAACATTTATCAAGCTTCTTCCATCTGAAACAAACACCTCCAAATGAAAGTTTTGTATTCATCTACTCCTCTAAATCATTTCCTTTGCATTCTAGTTCCAGTAGACTCCCTCTTCAACTACAATACTTTGTGGCTGCACTTCGAGCTAAACTCTAATTTTCAAATTTCATAAAGATCAATTCTTCCAACTCATCCAATCTTTTAAAGTCTTGGTCAAAATACTATTTCAGTCTCTATACCTTGAGTCTTATTCCATTTTAGTCCCTATACTTTCAAATGCTTACAATAAATCTTAAAGTTAGTCTTTATAGTGTTAGTTTGAAATTGAATTTTATCAAAATTGGTTAAATACTAATAATTTCCATACAAGAAAAGACACCGTGTGAATATGTTTCCAAAATTTATAGAGAGAGACCTAATAGAGACCATTTTTTTTAAGGAAAATTTAACAAAAAACCATCGGAAGGGACTATATCTCAGATTTATTGAAAGTAGGAGGATTAAATTTGGTCATTTAAAAGTACCAGGACTGAAATTTAATCCTAAAGGACCAAAAGGATCATTTAATCTAGTGTTTTCTATAGTTGTATAGTTGGTTGAAAAAAAGTTCTCAAACTCCTCCTCTTCTCAGGATCTCTCTCTTTTTTTTTTTTTTTCATTTGCTTCACCACAAACCTTTTAAATGGCCATCCTTTATAGATTAGTTTCTTTCCACTACTATCACAGCTTGCCCATCATTTCAAGAAAATTAGAGTGATGAAGCCATGTATTTTGAATTAAAATCACAAAACTTTTCAGCCATGTAAGTCCAGATGTGGAGATCTACAAAAACCACTTGCATATTCACCGAAAATCTATATACGAGTCAAGACAACTCTCTCAAAAGTTGGATCAAGAAAAATGAGCTGATTAAAATCCTGCATACCCTTCATGCACCGTTGCCTCATAATTTCTCCCAAGACAACATGGAAATATGAAGGCTTCCACACATATCCTAACAAAAAGCCCACAGCCACCAAGGTCCTCCAGCTCTCCTTAGAATCATTTTCGTACACAAACCTGAATGGTTGAAAATGCCAATAAGCCAAAAACAAAAGTCCTTAACCAAGAGGAACGGACTTTAATGGATAATCCATAAGCTTAGAACACTTGACCAAGAGGAGGACTTAATGGACAAGGAAAAAAAACGTTCTGCCAGATCAGTCAGCAGTCTTATTTCAAAGGATTGGAATGCGCCAAAGGCAGCCCACTCCCCACCTCGCAGTTCCATTTAATACTGATTAACAGTATCCTCTGTTCCTAAGCTCTCCTTAATATTGATTAACAATTCCATTTAATACTGATTCCAATAATGAAGTCGGGACTTACTTTAAGGATAACATGTTCGATGAGAATCCTCTATTCCTAAGCTCCCGAATGTTCCAACTGAGAATAAGCATGGAGACCCAAAATTCTACCCTTGCTTGGGAACTTCTTCTTGAGATAATTCCTGGAACAATAGAGATATAGCAACTCTTTGATGCCACTAATTTTCCTTTTAGACACGCTTTCCTTCCTTCTCATGGATGATCTTGAAATAATCTATCCATTAATCTTATCCACTCAATCAGCTTTTTCTGTAAAAGAGTTCCCAAGAAGGAATCCTAACGTATTTGGCAATATCAAGCATTTTGAAGGTTAGGAAAAACTTAATTGGGAGGGTTGAGAAATTAACTTATAGAGTTCTAGAGCTATTGTGAAAAAAACTTCCACCAACACCAGTCCACCCCCTTCAAATGAACGCTGAAAAATCCTTGTTAACAACTTTTATAGTTCATGTTTTCCTCTTAATTTAAAAATAAACAAATATACACATCAGAACACAATCAAATAAGGAGTAACGGAAGCTTCAAATAACAGAATGCCCAATTCAGAATTGATTGTACCCTCACAAAAATCTGCTTGACCATCACATTCATCTATATGCTTTCCAGGTGTCATTGTCATTCACGTTCAGTGTTTCCAGGAAATAGTTCAACACTCACATTCTCCACAATTGTGCCAATGACAATAATGGCACAGACTATTGAGCAAGTTATGTTAACATGGATGAGTGCCACGTTTCATTTGCTCTTGAAAAAAGGGAAATTTTAGACAGCAATTGATTTGATCACATGCCCCTTTAAAGGATCAGTATGGTAATTAAAATACGGACAAAAACCATTCATTCACCCTTCAAAACTCATGAAGTAAAACTTCAAAGCCTTCTTTTTAAAACATCATACATTTGACTTAACTTCCTTTCAGTTATAGTAAATAAGATTAAGAAGTAAAGAAGAATCCACCAAATGGCAGCCAAAAATGTCCCAGGGTTTGAACTGCCATGTAGAACACAGAAAGAGGGAGAGAGAGATGAATAACAAAATAAAATTCACTCTTATTTGTTAACCAGAAATCATCCAATTTCCCAATGCTAACTAAATTTGTAGGGGCACTATTACTTAATAATATTCGATAGTTAAAACACATAAGAAAATTGACGAATCAAATGAGCAGTTAGTTCCACATGGTTTCAAACACTGACCAACGACTGACGAGCCCATACAAGTTCAATTGCACCAGACATATAAATAGACTCTCTTGAATTGTATGGCTAATAGCAATCTCAGGCATGAAAACAAATTTCCAAATGGAAAGGTCATTTAGAATGTGGATTTCAAAATCACATGCGAGAATTTAATCTGACCAAAAAGATACTCAAGTAAGCTTCAATATAACATAACTATAATGTTTAAGGCTTCCATATTACAGTGTTAATATGCATACAGAAACTGACCGGTTACTCTCCCCCTAAACATGAACAGCCTTCTCTATTGGTTCTTGGTGCCCATCCTTTAAAGAAAACAGTGGGAAATTCTTCGGTTGCCGCATGTTAGACCTTTTTGGCGCTTATGGCTTATAAGGAAGAAAAAAATCTTCAACAGGAAAGAAGCTGTCTTTGATTTTTATTTGATTTTCTCATTTTCGTGGCTCTTATTTGAGTAGATTTTATGGCCATTTTGCAACTACAACCTAAGTAATGGTCACTTGAAGATCTCTTCTTGATGTTCTTTGTGTTGGGATTGGCATTCCACCCCTTTTAGTAATTTTATTTATTCAATGAAATATGTTTCTCATAAAAATGAACTACCCTAAAACTACACATGATACTTCTAGTAATGAAATTGAGAAGTCGGTGTTCGAAGAACAAACAGCAATAAACAAATAAAATACCTGCTGAAGCAATGCGATCCTTTGATTTGTAGCTGCCATAACCACGGCACAAAATGGGTATCTCGATGCTTTCAAGCTATTACTCATCTTAAAACCTTCACTAGCGCGAATACTCCCTCCCCACGAAACAAAATTCTCATTCACAAACGCTGCAATAGTCTCCGAACACAAGGTCCTGCCGCAGAACAATGGCGTATCCGGATGATCAGGAGAGTGAAGGTAAACAAACAAGAGCTTAAACGCATTTCTCGAACGCTGCAACGCGTCCATGAACCCTTCCCCCACAAAATTTGGCCTAGTTGTCCCATAATCCCTCTCAAACGCCGACACAAAATCAATAGCCTCCGATGCTGCAGCAGACACAGAAACCAACCGAGCCGACGACTCAGCGTTCTGGCCAGAACCAGACCCTAACCCGATCACTCCAAGAGAATACGAAAGAATACCACCAGCAGCCCATAATCCCAAACCAACAGCACCCGAAACAAGCCCTAAACTACCAGAAATCACAGAAATCGGAAGTGTAACGATTTTCCAAGCCAAACTCGGGGCCGGAGCGGCATTTTCTTGCTGTTCCAGTCTGTCGAGGATTTGGCGCGTCGCAGGGTCAAAATGATCGTCGCCGCCACCACCACCACCATCGACGGCGGCGGAAGCAGAGGATTCCGAATTGGTAGAAGTAAAAGAAGAAACAGCCCGTTCAAGGTCCCAACCGTGAGCAGCAAGGATTTCAGTGCAGATTTCGGGATCTTCTAAGCCTGTAATCGCTTGGAAATAGGCTAATTTATCAGCAACATCAACCATATCCGGCAAGGACATAAATGAATGGAAGAATTCCGGGGCTCTATTTGGTTCGTCTCCTATCTGATTCTTCAGAGATTGATCGGACTTGAATCTTCACCCTCGCGATCAATCCACATAAATGACTCAAATGGTTTTTCAATATTTGGGAAGTAGATAGAAACTCCAGGGATCTCCAAGCGATCGAATTTTTCACGTGACGATAATGCCACTGCCGGTCTTTCAAATTACCAACTTTTGCCATTCTTTGTCGGCCGACCGGCGAGGGGTATGGTCGTCATTTTCTCACTGCCGAAACGCGTCCAAGTCAAACCATTTTGTTATTTATTTATTTTATTTATTCTCACAAAATTTCACAATTTACTGAAAATTTAAATTTACAAAAATAATTTACCAGAATTAGAAGTTCGATTCCTAATATATATATATATATATATATATATATTTTTTTTTTTTTTTTTTTTTTTTAA